TTGTTGTGGAAAGAAAATGGAGAAATTGAGATTGTTCAAGAAGACAACAAGTCATTTGTTGTGAGTGTTGGTTGTTTGGATGCTCAGCTTTACTCCAATAAGTATGGTCCTTTGAGAATTGAAGAGGGCGTGAAAGGTGAAGCATCTAAGGCTACCTGATTGATTGACAACAGTGAATGAAGTAAGTTATCTGTAAAATCTATAATAGACTCGGTGAGAAATTCATCGGTAGTCATAGAAGAAATTGTTGATGATGAGTAAAGATATTTCATTTGTAATAAAAGAGACTCTGAAGAAAGTTCAAATTTATTCAATTGAGAAAAGTTTGTTCCATGATGAAAGTGAAGATAATACAAAGTAAGTTTGTATTGTAGATAGTCAAGTTTCCTTGTTAGAAGAAAGGGAAAAAGAAGAAGTACATGTTACAGTTCAGGATCCTTTGTTAGAAGTGAACATGGGGGTAAATTTTGGTGAATTTAAGCCAACCTTTGTAAGTTCATTCTTATCGGAATCTCAACAAAAGCAACTTATAAGTTTATTAGTTAAATTCAAAGATTGCTTTGCCGAGGATTATGCTGATATGCCTGGATTAAGTAGGGACCTAGTGGAACACATGTTACCTATTAAGCCTAATGTGAAACCTCATAAACAACCAGCTAGGAGAGTGGCACCTAACATTTACCCTAAAATAAAAGAAGAAATAGAAAGATTGTTAAAAGCTAGATTTATTAGGCCTGCTAGGTATGTTGAATGGTTGTCTAATATAGTCCAGTAATGAAGAAAAATGGAAAACTTAGAGTGTGCATTGATTTTAGGAATTTAAACATGCTTATTGATTCTGCTACAGGAAATGGTGTTATGTCATTTCTAGATGGTTATTCTGGATATAATCAAATATTCATAGCTGAAAAAAATATTTCTAAAACTGCATTTAGATGTGCAGGATCTTTAGGTACTTATGAATGGATTGTGATGCTATTTGGATTAAAAAATGCAGGAGCAACATATCAAAGAGCTATGAATGCTATTTTTCATGATATGATAGGGAAATATGTAGAAGTCTATATGGATGACATTGTAGTGAAAGCTATTGATTTTGATGAACATCTTAATAGACTTAAAATGTTATTAAACAGAATTAGATTAAGGGGTTTAAAATTAAATCCTTTGAAGGATGCATTTGGAGTCCAAGCTGGTCATTTTCTAGGTTTTCTAATTCATAGGAAAGGAATAGAAATTGATAAAAACAGAACTCAAGCAATTTTAAATGCAAAAGCCCCAACAAATAAGAAGCATATGCAAAGTTTTCTTGGACAGATTAATTATTTACGCAAGTTTATATCTAATTGTGTAGGAAAGTTATATGCCTTTACTCCACTATTGAGACTCAAATCAGAGGAGAATTTTATCTGGAATGATGAGCATCAAGTAGCTTTTGTAATGAACCCAAGGCTTATCATGGAGGGAATGATGCGCCAAGGGCTTATCATGGACTTGAAGATGGCTATGGAGAGCAAGGAAAAGATGTGCAAGTGCTGCAAGGAAGCATGAAGATGAATGAAGATCATGGAGATATCGTTGAGCATGTTCCAAGCACCAAAAAGATGTTATTCGATACATTGAAGATGCCTAATGGTTCAATGACAAGATCAAGAGCTAAGAAGTTCAAGGATGCACTATTGGGCCTTGTTCGAAGTCATCTTGATGATATGAAGACCATTCAAGTTCAATTGAAGCGCTTTGATGATGATTTGAGAGAGAAAACACCAATCAATTACAAGTTCATCACTTTGCTTGCTACTGATTCTAGATGGCCGGATTGACATCATGGCATTAGCCCATTAGTTTTAGTTTGCTTTGTTTGGGCTTAATTCTATCTTAAATTAGCTTATTTTTATGTTTGGATGTTATTTGGGTTAGGCCTTGGTTGACTAAGTCCAATCCTTAGCTATTTTTCTATTGGTTGTATTTTTGGATAGTTTCTAGAAGGTTCTTTTGTGTAGTCTTTATAGTTGGACGAAAATTTGGGATTTAGAGTAGATTATGCGTTGGTCTTGTGCCAAAATAAGGCCACCAGTATCTCTTGTAAACATAAGTTAAGTTGAGTTGATTAATAAAGTTGATGTTTATACACCCAAATTGATTACCTTAGCTTCATTGTTCTAGTTTGAGCAAACTTAGGGTTCTTCAATCTTGTAGAGTCCTAGCAAACAATTAGGTTGTGATTGCTTAATTGTTTGTGAATCTTGTGATCTTAAGTGTTCAATTGCAGGTCTAATTGAGAGCTTAAGGTCGACGAACGAAGAAGAAGACTAGGTTAGGTTTATCGAATTCTACAAGTCTAGAAGTCTTGATGTTTCAATTCGACTTTGGTGGCTATTCAAAGGTGGGATTGAATCTAGCACAACTAGATTCGTATCACTTTGAAGAAATCAAAAAGTACTTGATAAATCCACATGTGTTAATGCCTCCCAGAAAAGGGGTAAAATTTAAATTGTATGTAGCTTGTACAGAAAAATCACTGGTGCACTATTAGCACAAGACTCAAGTGAAGGAAAAGAACAAGTTATGTATTATTTAAGTAGAAATATGATAGATGTTGAGCTGAGATGTTCTGCTCTTAAAAATCTGTGTTTGATAGTATATTTTGCTTGCATGAAATTGAGACATTATTTACTCAATGAACAAGTAGACTTGATCTGTAAGTATGATGTTATTAAGTATATGCTAATAAACCTGTAATGGGAAACAGAATTGGAAAATGGGTTTAGCTTTATCAGAATTTTCTTTAAATTTTTTCCTCAAAAAGCTGTAAAAGGTCAAGCATTAGCTATTTTCTTAGCTGATCATCCTTGTCAAATGACTCTACCTAAATTAGATGAAGTTATGTTAATTGAACCTGTTCCATGGATTTTTGAATTTGATGGTTCAAAGACTGAACTGGGGGCAGAGCTGGAGTAGTTTTGACATCTCCATCAGAAAAAGTGTTTAAATTCTCTTTCTCTTTGTTGTTCAAATGTTCAAATAATCAAGCTGAATATGAAGCTTTAATTGCTGGATTAGAATTACTATTGGAACTTAAAGCTTATGCAGTATTGGTTAAAGGAGAATCACAGTTAGTCATTAGACAATTGTCTGGTATATATCAGTGTATTAGTCCAATAATGCGTTCTTACTATAAAATAGTTCAAAATTTCTTAAATAAATTCAATGAAACTAAGTTTGAGTATATTTATAGTGAAGAAAATTCTCCTGCAAATGATTTAGCACAAATAGGATCAGGTTATAAGAAACTAGATTTGATTGAATTTAGACCTCAACCATTGGATTCTGCTTTGATTAGGATTTGTGAAGAGAATCAAGTTTATGAAATGACAACAACAACAAGTTCAGAAGATTGCAGAATGCCTATTAAGCAATATCTAGAAAAGCCTGACAGTAAAGTTGATCAGATAATCAATGTTAGAGCTACGCAGTATTGTTTAGTGAATGATGAATTGTTCAAAAGGGGAACAGATGGAGTTCTTTTGAAATGCATAGATAATAAAGAATTAATGAAAGTTATGGGAGAGATTCATGAAGGAATGTGTGGATCACATTAGGTTGGAAAGAAAATGATGTGGTTGGTGAAAAGATATGGTTATTATTGGCCAACTATGGGAAAAGATTGCCATAGATATGCAAAAGGATGTTAAGCTTGTCAAAAGCATGCACCAATTCAGAGAATTCCTGCTTCAGAAATGAAATATATTTTGAAGTGTTGGCCTTTTAGAGGTTGGGCGATGGATATTATTGGTGCAGTTACACCAAAACCTACCAACTCAGACAAATTTATTCTACTAGCTACGCATTATTTTACATAATGGACTGAAGCAGCATCCTAGAAATCAATAAATACAGATGATGTAATAGAGTTCATTAAAAACAAAAATCCTGTTTAGATTTGGAATACTAGAAACAATTACCACAGATCATGCAACAGTCTTTGGAGATATTCTAAAAGAGTATTTGTCTACATTTGGTATTAACCTTGTATATTCAACACCATACTTTGCTCAAGAAAATTGTCAAGTTGAATAATCAAATAAAATTATAAAGCAAATTCTGGAGAAAATGATTACAAATGAACCAAACAATTGGCCAGAATTATTGCCAGAAACCTTATGGGCTTTTAGGACATCTAAAAGGACTGCAATAGGTACAACACCTTATGCATTAGTTTATGGGCATGATGTTGTATTACCAGTCGAAATAAATGTATAATCTTTGAGAATTTAGATTCAAAATGAGCTACTACCAGAAGAGTATGTAGAGTTAATGCATTTGGAAAAGATGAATCTGGATGAAACAAGGATTCAAGCTTTGGAAAGTATGCAAAAACAAAAATTACAAGTTGCAAAAGCATATAATAAAAAGCTGAAACCTAAGTCATTTAAGAATAGTGACTTAGTATGGAAAACAATATTGCCATTAGGAGTGAATGATCATAAATATGGTAAATGGTCTCCTATTTGGGAAGGTCCTTTTCAAGTCAATAAGCTACTTGGAGGAAATGCTTATCATTTACAAGATTTGGATGGAACTAATCATCCTAGGGATATAAATGGTAAATATCTTAAGTTATATGTCCCAGGTGTGTGGGATAACTTTGGAGAAGAATGAATGTAAGTAAAATTTGACATACAAGAAAATTGTAGTAAAAAACTTATATATATAAAAACAAACAAGAAAGTTGTAGTTTTAAGAATCCCATTCAGAATCCAGCAAAATATAAGTTCTGATGGAAGAAAAAAATATAAAAAATGAAAAGATGAGTTCCAGCATAGAGAAAATCTATCAGGTCAAGTGAGGCACCATAACTGCCATGTCCCTTTCATCTAACTCTTCTTCTTCAATCATCATTTCATTGAGTTAAAGATTAGAATAAGCAAGTATGTTCATTAAGTTGAGAGTGAAAAGCTTAAAGAATTTAAAGTTAATACCTCAGTTTCAGAATCAGGATGCTCTGGCGTGAGAGGACTCTGTGGTTCAGGTTCTTTAGGAAGATTAAACAATCGATGATGTGGAGGACTTCCAGCCATTAAGATGAAATTTATTACAGGGACAACATTGTTGTTCAGGTTAGTATCTTCCATTAGAGCAAGTGACTTAGTATTCTGAACGAATAAAGAAAAATCACATGGTTAGCATAATATTTCCAGATTGTTAAATAATAAGAGTAATGATCACTTATAGCTGAAATTAAGCAGTTGGAAAGAATTTGCTCAATTGATTGTTTCCTGAAGAAGGAAAAACCAACTTGGTTCCACCAGAAAGAAAAGTTTTGATGAACTCCAACAGAAGGCTTGAAAGGGAAAAATGTTCTTCTAACACAAGAAGTCATTGATGCATTAACAGAACAGATTGCATCCATTTCCCATGGTTCCCAGATGTTTTCTACTAGAGAAAATCCAGAATTGGCAGTAAAGAAACTAGGCACAGGAATTCCCTGTTGCAAATTTGCCTTAAGGCAAATTGAGGAGAATAAGTAACAGAGAATAGGAAAATAGGTAATAATACATGACTATGGCGGCCAATTAAGTTTCTGAGACTTAAGAAAGAAGTCCAAGCATCAAGGAATAAGAAGAAATCAGGATGATTATCATCAATTTGTCTATTGGCAGAAACGAAGAGTGGTTTATGTTTGTCGTTAAGATGCTCATAAGGGATGAAGAAATCAGAAGTGGTGGGTTTAAAAGTATACAAATACTTAATGACACCAGTGAAGGAAGGAAAAGTAGGAGTAGCAAACAAATGACTCCTCAAAGTATGGCTATCAAAAACAAGAGAAGGGAACCTATAATTCTGGTTTGATTTATGGAAATATAATGTGAACCATGCTTGAAATAGCCACAATGGCCCCTCACATTTGGATGTACCCCTACCTATTCTATCAACTAGGGTGTTCATACCCTTATAAGCATATGCTAAGATCAATGGAGGGAGATCTACTATTTTCCTTTGAGCTAATAGTTCAGCCAAAGGAACAAAATCAGAACATGATTGAATTGGAATGCAGAAAATGAATTTGCATAACCAATATAATAGAAATGTAACATGTTCAAATTCTCCTATTTTAGTTTCTGACACACAGAATTGGCGTTAGAAAGAACGAAAGGAATGATAAAACAACTTCAAAGGAAAACTTGAAGTAGAAGGATTGAAAAAATCCTGATGACCAGACTCGAATGAGGAGTTCTTGAAGCCAGATGATGCGCCAAGGGCTTATCATGGACATGAAGAACACAATGGAGGGCATGGAGAGGATGAGCACATGCGGCAAGGAAGCAAGGACATGATTCAAGATCAAGGGGTTTGCGCAAGTCATGATTCAAGCTTCAAGGAGATGCCAAAGATGCCATTTAATCCATTGAAGATGCCTTTAGGTCCGATGACTAGAGCAAGAGCTAAGAAGTTCAAAGATGCATTAACAAGCCTTGATCGAACTCATCTTGAAGACTTGAAGACCATTGAACAGTAATTGAAGAGCTTTGATGAATATAAGAGCAAGAATATTCCCATCGATTCCAAGCTCCTCACTTTGCTTGAAATCGATGAGCATTAGGTCTTTCATTGTGTAATTCAGCCATATGGGCCTTAATTCTATCCTAAATTAGTTAATTATTTAGTTTTGACCTTCTTTAGGGTTGGGCCTTGTCTAATTAAGTCCAATCCTTAGTTATTTTCCTATTGGTTGTATTTTTGGATAGTTTTTAGATAGTTCCTATGTGTAAACCGCCCTTAGCCTTGCATTGAATGCTAGGTCGGTTTAGGAGGGTTCTAGAAGGGGTATTGCGTTATCTTTGTGCCTATATAAGACCACCAATATCTCCTGTAAACACAAGTTAAGTTGATTAATAAAGTTGAGGTTTATTCACCCAATTGATTATCTTAGCTTCATTGTTCTAGTTTGAGCATACTTAGGGTTCTTCAATCTTGTAGAGTCCTAGCAAACAATTAGGTTGTGATTAATTGGTTGTTTGTGAATCTTGTGATCTTAGGTTGACAATTGCAGGTCTAATTGAAGATCTAAGACCGACGAAAGAAGAGAATTGCTTAAGTGTAGGTTGTCGACATACTCATCTAGGAGTTGAAGGAGTTCAAATTAATCTTTGGCGGGTCTCAAAGATAGATTTGAATCTAAAGCAACTAGATTCGTATCAATTGGTATCGGAGCATAGGTTGTCATTTTCAATCGGTAAATCTATCATTCTATTCATCATTCATCAAATTTTTCATCCATCTCATTCATCTAGTTGAAAATTAAAAAAAATCAGAAACTTCAAAAATTTATTGTGGATTTATCTTAACTCCGTTTGACTTGAAATTTCAGATTTGGAGTCCTCATACCTTGTAGTTCAATAAAAAAAAAATTCGACCAGAAACTTGTGATTTTTGTCCTGGATTCTTTTGAGCTAAGAAAGCTTTGAAATTTGAGATTTAGACTTCTTTTAGTGTTATCTTTCTGGGAAAAATATTGAAGGAAATCAAAAAAATCTGTTGCATTATCGACTTTTTACAGAATTAGGGTTCTTAATTTGGGAATTTGGAAATTAGGGTTTGTTCTCGTGCAATTGATTTAATTGGTTGCAATTAACCGTAATTGATTATTTGTTTGAGGTTCTTGGGTTGCTTTTACTGTGATTGAAGGTTCAGTTTGAAGAATTTCAGGCCCTATTGGAGACAAGTGGTATAAAATTGGATCTAAGTGGTACTAGGGTTCTTGAATTGTTTGATTGAATTGGTTGATTTGTGTTTTGTGCTTGTTCTAATTGGATTTTACAGCAAGGTTGGGGCGACATAAGGAGGCTACAATTGTGGTTTGATTGGATTATAGATCACTCTTATTCTTTTGATTCACATAAGTTTTCTAATTGTTTGTTACTCAAGTAGGTCACGAGAAGAAAGAAGTACTCTTACAAGTTGCTCTTATTAGGCCTATTGATAAAAGGCATAATCTTGTGAGATCATCAAGAGAGTAGTGGACCGCCAATCCATAGGTCGAGTGCAAACACGAAAGCACAATAAAGGTATACACACACTCACTTGTGAGGAATTTTTGCTACTAATCTTTGTTCTTTGTGTAGGTACCATGGAAGGTCAACAAGGAGAACAAAATAAAGAAGTAAACACGGCTGCCATGTTACAAACAATAATTCAGCAACTTGGCACCATGTCTACTAGATTGGAGGCTCTTGAAACTAGAAATCAACAAGCTCAAGCTCCCCAACAAAGAGCTAATGCTGTACAAAACAATGAGCAAAAAGTACAACCACAAGTTCATAAGGCAAGTTGCTAGAATGAATCCATTGGAGAGATTAAGGCAACAAGAACTTGGAGGTCAAGCTTACAATGAAAATTTGCGACCTAGGAGAGGTGTTGAAAGAGATGAGCCTAAAGACAACATCAAGTACCAAATCCCAAAATTCAATGGGAGAGGGACCCCTGCGGATTACTTGGAGTGGGGAGTCAAAATTGGACATGTACTTTGATTATCACCCATTTGCCGAGCCTAAGAAGGTACAAATTGCCATCCTTGAGTTTGTGGAGAATGGTTTGAATTGGTGGAATCAATTGGTACAATCAAGGAGAAGGAATTTGGAGCGGCCTATTGATATTTGGGTGGAATTGAAGAGTGTCATGAGAAAGAGATTTGTGCCAAGCTTTTACATCAATTCTCTTTACCAAAGCTTGCAAACCTTGAGGCAAGGATCAAAGAGTGTTGATGAGTACTACTCGGAGATGATGTTGTTGATGTCTATGGCTGAAATTGAAGAAGCTCCACAAGCCACCATGGCTAGGTTTCATGCGGGTTTGAATAGAGACATTCATGACATAGTGGAGATGCAACAACATTATGATGTTGAAGAGTTGTTACAACATGCCTTGAAGGCTAAGGGTTAAATCAAGAGGAATGGCGCTAAAAAAAGTTTTGCATCATCATCTAGCTCATGGAAAACTCCTATCAAGAAAAATGAGAAAACTCCCAACAAGGACAAGAAGGTGGTGCAAAAGGGTTTAGTAAGTCCTAAAACCGATTCTAAATCTTCATCTAGTTCTTCTTCTAAGTCTCATATTAAGTGTTTTAAGTGTCAAGGATATGGTCATTATGCTAAGGATTGCATCAATAAGAATGTGATGTATCTTACTGATCATGGTGAAATTGTGAGTAAAGATGAAGAATTTAACTTGGGATCAAGTGGTAATGGAGATGATGAAAGGGAAGGTTTTGCGCATGATGAGGATGATGATGATAATGGAGAAACTCCCGCACTTTTGAGCTTAGTTGCAAGGAGACCTTTGAGTGCATATGTAAAAGGAGATGTGCAAAATCAAAGGGAGAATTTGTTCCATAATAGGATGCATGCGTGTGGAAAGCATAGTAGTGTGATCATTGATGGTGGGAGTTGAACAAACATAGCTAGTATCTATTTGGTGAAAGAGTTGCAATTGCCCACTACAAAACACCCTAAACCCTATAGTTTAGGATGGTTCCACGATAAGGAGGAGATTAAGGTTAACAAACAAGTTTTAGTTTCTCTTTCTTTGGGCAGATACAAAGAGGATGTGCTTTGTGATGTTTTGTCAATTCAAGCATGCCATGTACTACTTGGTAAACCATGGCAATTTGACAACAAGGAGCATCATGATGGTGAGACCAATAAGTACTGATAGGCATTTATTTTACTTAGTTATCTATACTTAATTTGTACATTTTTAATGTCTATCTTGTTTTATTTCTACCTACTTGCTTTGTTTTTGTCTTATAGGCACTTTTGAAGATGCTAATGAAATATGACAATTCAAGGTGATTTCGTGAAGTATTTGGAGAAGCTATTCGGATCTCGGGACTTGACTACGGAATGGACAACAATGGAATCATAATTCAAGCAAACAAGAACAAGATCAAGTTCCTGATGCTCCACGTGAGTGGGGAAGCACCCATGCCGAACCTGTCAAGCTCCTGGAAGCAAATAACTTTCTAAGACTCCTCGAGAGTGGGGAGTTACCCTTGCCACGCATGGGGAGACTCTTGGACAGATTCAGAATTTCAGCACACAAATTCTATTTGCAGTGGGCTTTACTCCATATTTTTCCTTATATTATTTCCTACCTTTATGGGGCTTAATGGGTCCAAGTTAGTCCTAGATTCCTAGTCCTTGCAATTGGATTATTTTATTTTGACTTTTAACTTTTCCTTAGTTAAATAGGAATAGAAATTTGAAGCCCTATTTAAAGGGACCTTAGATGTAAAACGAGAGAGCTCTCTTTTTATATTTTGGCTGGAGCAACTTTTTGAGCTGCGTTATTTTGTTTGTATTTTGGGCATCGATTTATTCTTCCTCTTCTTGAATTGAAGACTCAAAATATCGGTTCTATTTCTCTTCTCATGTCTTTGGGTTTCATTCATTCAATTGATAATTGTGTTTTTATTCCCAATATTATGAGTAGCTAATTTTCTTGTTTCCGATTCCTTGCTTAAACTAATGGGTTGATTTGTGAGAATTGTTCTTAAATTGAATATTCATCTTAGTATTCTATAATTCCGGATCTATTTTTATGCTTTTATAATTCTTGTTAATTTGGGTGACCAACTTATTAATTAGGATTATAAATCTATTGCTAGTTGGAATTCTATACCGTTTGGTTAGTTTTCACAAGGTAGTAACTAGTTGATTGGGAGTTATTGAAGGGTAACTGGGAATCACTAGGGAATTTTGGATGCAAATTGAATGCTCGCCCGTTTGGGGAGTGTTATTTATGAAGGCTAAAATCCACTAAACTTAATGTTGTTGAACCTTGAATTCTTTGTGCGTTTGCCATAGGGTTAGGACCTCAATTAGGCTAGTTAATAGCGTTCTCTTTAATTAGTATTGTGATGAATTCATGGGATTGATTAGCATTCGTTGTCAATCTAAGTCTTCTATTTTGATGAATATGTTAACTTCTTTTGTTTCAATGATCAGGTCAACCTAATTAATCAAGCTTGGGATTGGAAATCTTCTCGTAATTATCTTTCTTCTATTTTAATTACTTGCAATCTAGTTTAATTATTTTAGTTTTAGTTCATAGTTTATTTTTAATTAATCAAAATCCCCTGATTTACTTTATTGCTTAGAAAGTAGTTAGTGAACAACTCCCTGAGGATCGACCTAGATTTGCCCTATCTATAGGAAGGTTTAGTTATTTATTTTTGGTGGTAAACGACACCCATCAAATTTTGGCGCCGTTGCCGGGGAGTTAAGTAGATTAGCTACTTTTCTCTTAGTTTAGTTTAGTTAATTTTTTATTTTATTTTATTGCTATTATTACTCTCTTTTGTTTGTGTGTTTTGGTTTTTATCTATTTGGCTTTCAGATAGTGCATGACCCGTAGAACAGAGGCATTACCACCTAAAAAAGAAATAATCCCTGAGGTCGAAAGGTTTGTGAAAAATCGAAACTCAGAAAGGAGAGCTGTGATTCAAGAAAGTCATCAAAGGATGGACAATCAAAATAGAGTGGCAAATCCTGATGAAGAGAATCCAGATGGAGTAGAAAATCTGGTTGAAGATCCAGCAGCGCTTCCTCCCCCTCGGAATTGGAATGACCTTCCACAACCTCCTATAGTTCCCCCAGCAAGAGTGGTGGATAATCGGTCTATGAGGGAGATCATGGCTCCTAATTTGAATGATCAACCTCTCTGCATTCAATATAATATGCTAAATGTTCCATGCGAATTGAAAACAAGATTTATTCATTTGTTGCCTAAGTATAATGGATTGTCTGGGGAAGATCCTATCAAGCATATCAAGCGTTTTCTGATGATTTGTTCTTCCACGGGACCAGTAGGAGTTGATGAGGATCAAGTTAGAATGCGGGTTTCCCTCTTTCACTTGAAGGGGCAGCAAGGGATTGGTTGGATGATCTACCGGTTGGTAGTATTGATTTTTGGGCAGATCTTCTTTCGGCATTCTTCGAGAAGTACTTCCCTGCCACAAAAACATCCCTGATTCAGAAGCAAATTGCTGGTATTGAGCAAATGGAAGGTGAAAGTTTATATGAGTATTGGGATCGTTTCAACAGGCTGGTTGGAAGTTGTCCTAACCACATGTTTTCCGATTTCCAATTGCTACATTCCTTCTTTAATGGACTTTTTGTGTTAGAAAAGCGATTACTTAATTGTTCCGCTGGTGGGGATCTACTTCAGAAAAACACTGATGAGATTAGGAGGCTAATAGAAGCTCAAGCTAAGTCTTCACATGGGTATGGAGTTGATGAAAGAAAGGCGCATAAAGTTAAGGAGGCAAGCATCAACACTGCTCGTTTGGAACAACAAATTTCTCAACTTACTTCCTTAGTGAAGGAACAAATGGGCATGGGCAACAAAAGAAGAGTATGTGGTTTGTGTGCTTCAAATGAACATCCTACCGATGCTTGTCCTACTCTATTTGATGACCAAGTAAAAGAAGCCAATGCAATTGGATATCAGGGTCCCCCGCAAAGGAAATATGACCAATATCCCAACACTTACAACTCTAGGTTTAAGCAACACCCAAACTTAAGGTATGGTAACCCCAACAATGCCGTCAGACCCCCTTACCAACCTCCACCTGCTCAACAGGGGAATCAAGGGCATAACTCAAATATGGAGGCACTTCTGCAGAAGTTGACTGAAAGTCAGTTGATGACTGATGAGACCTTATTAAGATACGATGGGGAGTTCATAAACATCAAGAATCAAATAGGACAACTTGCTAATGCCGTGAGTAGATTAGAAAATCAATTCTCTGGGAAAATTCCATCTCAAACAATTGACTCAAGAGCAGATCTTAAAGCAATTACTTTGAAATGTGGCAAGCAAGTTGGTGATCTTCGAGAATTGGAGAAGGAGCATGAAACTTTGGTGCAAAAACAGGAGATTTCGTCCCCTGATGCTTACCGCGAACGGGGAGATAAGCTTGCCACCAGTGAAGAACCCCTTGACGTGAGCGGGGAGGTCACTTTGCCACCAGCGAGGAACCCCATAGGCTTGGAAGACGAAGACAATGACCTTGCCGCACCCAGTCCCTTGCCAATCACGGCAAGCATCAGAATCCTCCAATGATAATTCCTTAGCTTCTAAGGGCCAGGTGAACTCTAAACATCCTAAATCCAATGTCAAGACTAATGTTTGCATTCCTCCTTTCCCATCTAGATTAGCTAAGAAGACCAAAGAGGATGTTGACAATGAAATTTGGGAGACGTTTAAGAAAGTGCAAGTTAATATCCCTCTCATTGAAGCTATCAAACAAGTTCCTCGCTATGCTAAGTTCTTAAAAGATCTTTGTACCAACAAAAGGAAGCATAAGGGGAATGAAAGGGTAAGCCTAAATGAGAACTGTTCCGCCATCCTTCAAAGGAAAATGCCAGTCAAGTGCAAGGATAAAGGTTCATTTTCTATCCTTTGTACAATAGGAGATAAGAAGTTTGAGAAGGCTTTGTGTGATTTAGGTGCATCAATTAATGTTATGCCTTACTCAATTTACATTAAGCTTAACATTGGTCCTTTGATAGCAACTGGCGTGATTATTCAACTCGCTGATCGGTCTAACATTTATCTTGAAGGAATTGTTGAGGATGTACTTGTGCAGGTTAATGAGCTAGTTTCCCAGTAGACTTTTATGTGCTTAAGATGGAAGAAGATGAGCTTGATCTTCGACCTATTCCTCTGCTTCTAGGTAGACCATTCCTTCGCACCGCAAGGACTAAGATTGATGTGTATGAGGGAATCTTGACCATAGAATTTGATAACCATATCGTCCTGTTTGATATCTTTGAAGCTATGCGTTATCCTAGTGATGTGCATGCTGTTTTCTCTATTGATGTTGTGGATACATTAAAAGACCAGGCTTTGTTGCTTGATAATGATGATGGAGTAGAAGTTGTCTTGCATAATGGATTGAATGGTAAAGAATATGATAGTCATGACATATCTCTTCCTGATAGATTCTCTGAGGTAATATCTGACTTGCATTCTATTCCTCCTAAGAATGTGAAAGATGATTTATTGTATTTGTTCTTACCTATTCCTTCTTCTAAATCAGTTCCATCAATCATTAAACCACCTGTGGTTGAGTTGAAACCTTTACCTGATCACTTGAAGTATGTTTTTCTTGGTTCTAATGAAACTTTACCTGTCATCATCTCTAGTAAGTAAACTTCTCTGCAAGAAGAGAAACTTTTAAAAGTTCTTAGGGAGTACAAGGAAGCCATTGGATGGAGCATTGCTGACATTAAGGGGATCAGTCCTTTAATTTACATGCACAAAATCCTTTTGGAAGATGAAGCAAAACCTGTTAGGCAACCTCAAAGGAGACTAAACCCCAACATGATGACGGTAGTGAAAGATGAGGTAGTTAAACTTCTTGAAGCTGGAATCATCTACTCCATCTCTGATAGTAAGTGGGTAAGCCCAGTTCAGTGTGTTCCTAAGAAATCAAGTATGACAGTGGTGAAAAATCAAGATGATGAGCTTGTTGCCAAAAGGGTTCAAGATTCCTGGAGGGTTAGTATTGATTACTGGAAATTGAATGAAGTAACTCGAAAGGATCACTTTCCACTCCCTTTTATAGATCAAATGTTAGAAAGGTTAGCTGGTCATGAGTTTTACTGCTTCCTTGATGGTTATAGTGGCTATTTTCAAGTACCCATTGCTCCTGAGGACCAAGATAAGACCACATTCACTTGTCCATATGGCATTTTTACATATCGGAGGATGCCTTTTGGTCTTTGCAAAGCCCCAGCTACTTTTCAAAGGTGCATGATGAGCATATTTCAAGATTATGTAGAACAAATCATTGAGGTATTTATGGATGATTTCTCAGTCTATGGTAACTCTTTTGATACCTGTTTAGATAATCTTGCTTTGATTTTGAATAGGTGTAAGGGTAATAACCTTGTTCTTAACTCTTCTAAGTGTCACTTTATGGTTGATCAAGGAATAGTTTTAGGCCATGTTGTAGCTAGTAGAGGTTTAGAGGTAGATAAAGCTAAGGTTAATATTGTACAGAATCTACCTTACCCCTCTACCGTGAGGGAAGTGCGTTCTTTTCTTCGACATGCAGCTTTTTATCGCACATTTATCAAAGTTTTCTCCAAGATTGGTGCACCCTTATGTCATCTACTTCAGAAACATGTGGAGTTTCATTTTGATGATGCATGTAAAAAGGCATTTGACACCTTGGAACTTGCATTGACATCAGCACCCATTGTGCAACCACCTAGATGGGACTTGCCTTTCGAGCTTATGTGTGATTCTAGTGACAATGCCGTTGGAGCTGTTTTAGGGCAACGAGTTAACAAACTTGTCCATGTCATCTATTATGCTTCTCGTGCCCTAAACTCCGCTCAGAGGAACTATACAAAAACGGAGAATGAGCTTTTGGCTATTGTTTTTGCCTTAGTAAAGTTTCGTTCCTATTTACTTGGTGCTAGAGTTATTGTTTTCTCTGACCATGCAGCTCTTAGGTACTTTTTGTCAAAGAAGGAATCTAAACCTCGCTTGATTCGTTGGATTCTCTTGCTACAAGAATTCCACATTGAAATCAAGGACAAGAAAGGCGCGAAAGACTTGGTTGCTGATCATCTTAGCCGTTTGCATAATGGAGAGGATGCCACTCCATTAGGTGATTTCTTTTGATAATTAATTCTGAATTACCTTGGTATGCGGATATTGTGAATTATCTAGTTTATGGGCAATTACCTAGTGATTTGAGTAGGCACCACAAAGCTAAGTTGAAATGTGATGCTAAGAATTATTTGTGGGATGAACCTTATTTTTGGCATTTTTGTTCTGATCAAATAGTTAGAAGATCCATTCCACAACATGAACAAGCATCCATTCTAGGTTTTTGTCACTCTTATGCATGTGGTGGTCACTTTGGACCCAAGAGAACTGCTAGAAAAGTGCTTGAATGTGGGTTTTACTGGTTTTCCATCTTTAAAGATGCATATATGATTTGTAAAACATGTGATAGATGCCAAAGAGTAGGAAATTCGTCTCAACGAGATCAAATGCCTTTGCATCCCATTATTGTTGTTGAAATTTTTGATGTATGGGGTATTGATTTTATGGGTCCTTTTCCAAAGTCTTCTAGTAATCTCTATATCTTGTTAGCATGCGATTATGTGTCTAAATGGGTGGAAGCTATAGCTACTAAAACTGACAATGCTGAAGTAGTTGCAGATTTTGTCAAGACTAATATCTTTAACAGGTTTGGCATCCCTAAAGCTTTGATTAGTGACAAGGGCACACATTTTTGCAACAATGTGATACAATCTCTTGTTAAGAAATATGGGGTAACTCATAAAGTTTCCACAACTTATCATCCCCAGACAAGTGGTCAAGCAGAGATTTCTAATCGAGAAATTAAGTTGATCTTGGAAAAGACGGTGAACCCAAATAGAAAAGATTGGAGCTTAAGACTTTCCGATGCACTTTGGGCTTACCGCACTGCCTACAAAACTTCATTGGGAATGTCTCCCTACCGGTTAGTTTATGGTGAAACTTGTCATTTACCGGTGGAGTTGGAACACAAAGCTTAGTGGGCAGTGAAGCAGTGTATATGGACATTGATGAGGCTGGTTTACATCGCAAGCTCCAACTCCAAGAGTTGTAAGAAATACGTAATGATGCCTTTGAGAATGCCGCCATTTACAAAGACAAGACAAAGAAGTGGCATGACAACATGATCAATAGGAAGTCATTCTTTGTAGGTCAAAAGGTTTTGCTATTCTACTCGCGTCTTAAGCTTTTTCCAGGTAAACTTCGGTCTCGGTGGGATGGACCTTATGAAGTAGTGAAAGTATATCCCCATGGAGTGGTTGAGATTAGAAACCCGAAGTCATCTCAAATTCTCAAGGTTAACGGGCATCGATGGAAACCATTTTATGAAGGACTCAAGGCTTGCGTCGAGTACTTCCAAGAACTCGATGATCCCATTTACCCACCTCCACCAACTCCTTGATAACCCTTGGTTACGTCGAGCTAACGACGTTAAACAAAAGCGCTTATGGGAGGCAACCCATTTTTAATTTCTATTAGTTTCTTTTTAATTTTTAATTCAGTGCATGTGTTAGTGCAATTCATGGTGGGTAGCTTGAAACAACGAAATTTGAAGCCAAAATAATCCATGTGGCTTGCCGCACACAGCAAAGGCCCTTGACGTGAGCGGGGAGATTCAACTTTGATGTGAAGAAAATTCCCTGAGACTACCCACGCATGGGTAGGCCTCCTTGACATGAACGGGGTGCATTAGGAAAAATTCCCCTTTTCAAACTTAAAAAAAAAAAAAACCTCGATGATCAGAAACTCGGAACCCTTTTCTTTTTCCATTTTCTTTTTCTTTTCTTCTCCTCTTCTTTACTTTTCTTTTATTCTCTTCTCCTTTTCTTTTCCTCCCTGCTCGATCACCGCTCACCCTTGTGCCGTCGGTTTCCTTACCCCCGTTCAATCACCGCGCCAACACCTTCGTTCGAGAAACCCGACGCCGGCGAGACCAAAACGGGGCAAACCATCATCTTCGTCGCATGACAGATTCGCGAAACTCTCTTCTTGCCCCGACTCCACGCAGCCTCAACTGCAACTCAACACCGACGAGACCCAGCTACAACCTTCCAACCACCGCAAACAGCGCCGGCGACACTCTTCACCGGTAGTACCACTCTCTTGCTTTGGGTTCTTAAAACCCGTTAAATTCTTTGGTGATTTTTGCTGCCGTTTGTATTGAGTTCCACTGTCGGTTTGTTCTTTCATTAAAATATCCCATTTGGAGTTTATTTTGCTTGGGTATTTTGTCGGTTACCTACATTGTGCTTCATTATTACTAGGAATTTCTGGAATTCGACATTGGACTATATTTGGGTACTAGTTGCTGAATTGAGTCTGCTATCTATTGATTGGAAATTGCGGACATTGCTACAGTAATCTCTCTTGCATTCGTCTTTGCTATTGTTTGAAGTTTATTGGTTTACAACTGCTGTTTAGACTTACACTTGGGTACTTCATTACTGCATTGGTTAGTTTTGATTGGCTGTTAGAATTTGCTTTGGTTATCATGTCTACAAGAAAGAAAACTCGAGCTAAAAAGGGTCCCATAAATGATAGGGAGGAGGTTACTCGTCGTTTTATCTCTAAAGATGCAAAAGAATGGTATGATAAGATGGCAGCAAATGCTTATGTAGTTGAGCAGAGTGTCGCACCATCCATTTATGAAGAATATCAAATTACTGCTGCTTTTGAGCATTTTGGATGGGCTCCGGTTCTGAATTTGCCCACCTATTATTATCCTCGGCTTGTGCGGGAATTTTATGCTAATATGAAGGAACGGACTATACTTGATTGCTTTGAGTTGACTTCTACAGTACAAGGAATAGATATTAAGATAACTCCTGAATATCTTCATCAATGGTTTGGATTGAAAAACAAAGGCAATAGGTTATATTTTTAATCTAATGGCACATCCTATGACTGTATTTTGGATAAATCTTGGAGAAAGGATAATGTTATTGAATCGATAAATGTGGCATTTACTTACAACCACAAAGGACATTGGGTTGTGTGTGCACAGTTTTGTGAGTTCGGGACAAACTTATTGCTTACTTTTTCCGGCAGAATGTGTTTCCTACAAACAGCAAATTCATTGACCTTCGGCTCATTGATATTTTCTTGCTCCACATGCTGCGATTGGATCCTTGTCCTCATCCTGACATCAATCTTGCAGAGATCATTATCGAGGAAATCCATCTTGTAGGTCGTTTTAACAAACCATTCGTTTTTCCTTGTCTTATCACCGAAGTTCTTCGAAAATTTGGTGTGGATTTGACGGATGAACTTCTAGTTCTGGTAAATACTACATTTGATGATGATACAATGAAAGCTTTTGGTTTTATCGAGAAGAATGGCATTTGGGAGAATGACCATAGGCAGTTCTATAGTCCAAACCCCGTGGTCCAAGTTTCTGAACGCCCAAAACGAGCTGCTAAGAAGAGGTCAGCTGCTTCTTCTCCCGCTCATGAAGAATCTGATTTTACTGCTCGTTTGGACACTATCGAGGCTACTCAGAACCAGTTGCTAGCTGGACAGGCTGAATTGCTAGCTGGTCAAGCAGAGTTGCGAAGTTATTTTCTTCATATTTTGCAGCACTTTGATCTGCAGCCTCCACCACCATGAGTTCACTTTTCCTTTATCTTTACTTTCTGCATTTCTTTTTCTTTCCGTTTCAACTTTATTTGTTTACCTAACCCTTAACCATGTGACTGCATACACTATAACTTTCCTTGTTGTTTTTCCTTTGTTCTTTGTAGTGCTTTTGCTTTCGTTGCCGTATATTGTTCCGCTACAAGGTTTCATCGAGAAAACCAGGGGAGTATTCTTACTTTTTTTTTCCAATGTGTGACTTAGATTTAGGATTGCATATAGTTTATTTGTTTTAGTTTTTAATTTTCACTTTTATTTTACATCTCATATAGTGTAATGGATCTAGAGATTCCTTTCTTTTGTGCAAGTTTGATTTGTTGATTGATCTATGCAAAGCATGCTTTGGATGAATACATGACATTTAGTTGATTAAGGATGTTGTTTTAGTCGACTAATATTCTACTAAAATGCTTAATGCTTGTTTTGCATATGTTTTGCTTATGTTCCTATACTTGCATGCATGTTTAACCATTCAAATTTATGCATTGTTTTAATATGTGCTTTTCATTCATTTTTGTGGTTTGAGCATTCATTCTAAGCACACATTGAGGACAATGTGTAATTTAAGTGTGTGGGGGGCGGGGGTAATCTATTAGTTTTAGATCCTAGAGTCAAGGCATGGAGAGCATTTTTCGAATTGTTTTGGATTAGTATTTGCATGAATGAAAAGTTTTTACAATGTTTTCAATAGTTATTTTGAGTTTGTTGATGAGATGGACAAGTAATGAGAAACTTTTTCCAAAAGATTCTAAGTAAACGCTTTTCTCTTTCAAAATTTAGCAAGTGATAAGTAATTTTTAGTATGAAAAATGGATTTTGAAGTGATTTTATTCCCTGAACTTGTATTCCATTCTATATGAGTCAAAAGAAAGCAATCTAAGATCCCCTAAGCTTCAAAGTGATTCACAAGAGTAGTGTGGGGGGATGTTTAGTTGTATAGAGGAAAAGAGATACTTCCGATCTTTACCATAGTTGTAATAAGGTAGAAAAAGAGGATAAGAGGCATGGTAAAGAGGTGAAGAAGTATTGTCCCTCTAGAAAAAAAAGCACCAAAAACAGAAGCGTGCAAACAAGTTTAAAGTGCCAAGCAATTATGCAATTCAAAATTAAAAGGCACTAGTGGAGGATGTGATGGGCTAGTAGCCTAATAAAAAAATATAAAATGATGGGCTAGTAGCCCCAAAAATTTAAGACTTGTTTTCATCTATGAGCTTATTTAAAATCTTTGGTGGTTATTATTTTGTCTCATTGATAGGATGGAAATACAAATTTTGGTTGAGTATGCACTTGAATGTTCATTGGTTTACGATGATGGAAGGCTTGTTTACTTGCCATTTCTAGATTGAGATTTGAAGTGCTTAGACATTGATTGGAAAAGTGTTTTGAATTGTTTGAATGATATTGAAACTTACTTGAATGGTTTTGAACATATTGTTTTTGCTACCTTTGTGAGTGTAAATCTTTTTCAAAACACTAGAAAGATCTCTCTAATGTCTATCTCCTAAATGTTTGTGGATGTCGTTCTAGTTAAGTAAACCCTCAGGAGACTATAACTCCTCCTTTAATGTCTTCGATTAAAGGTTTAAAGGCTTGCGTCACATGCTAAGTGCCGCCGTACACCTACGAAAGTGAAATTAATACTTGTCTTAGGTTTAGTGTTTTATTTAGTTAGCTTGCTAAGGGACTAGCAACATCTAAGTGTGGGGGAATTTGATAGGCATTTATTTTACTTAGTTATCAATGCTTAATTTGTACATTTTTAATGTCTATCTTGTTTTATTTCTATCTAGTTGCTTTGTTTTTGTCTTATAGGCACTTTTGAAGATGCTAATGAAATAGGACAATTCAAGGTGATTTCGTGAAGTATTTGGAGAAGCTATTCGGATCTCGGGACTTGACTACGGAATAGACAAGAATGGAATCGGAATTCAAGCAAAGAAGAACAAGATGAAGTTCCTGATGTTCCCCGTGAGTGGGGAAGCACCCATGCCGAACATGTCAAGCTCCTGGAAGCAAATAACTTTCAGAGGTCCCCGAGAGTGGGGAGGTACCCTTTCCACGCATGGGGAGGCTCCTGGACAGATTGCGAATTTCAGCAGACAAATTCTATTTGCAGTGGGCTTTACTCCATATTTTTCCTTATATTATTTCCTACCTTTAATGGGCTTAATGGGTCCAAGTTAGTCCTAGATTCCTAGTCCTTTTAGCAATTGGATTATTTTATTTTAACTTTTAACTTTTCCTTAGTTAAATAGGAATAGAAATTTGAAGCCCTATTTAAAGGGACCTTAGATGTAAAACGAGAGAGCTCTCTTTTTATATTTTGGCTGGTGCAACTTTTTGAGCTGCGGTATTTTGTTTGTATTTTGGGCATCGATTTATTCTTCCTCTTCTTGAATTGAAGACTCAAAACTTGGTTCTTTTTCTCTTCTCATGTCTTTGGGTTTTATTAATTAAATTGATAATTGTGTTTTTATTCCCAATATTATGAGTAGCTAATTTTCTTGTTTCCAATTCCTTGCTTAAACTAATGGGTTGATTTGTGAGAATTGTTCTTAAATTGAATATTCATCTTAGTATTCTATAATTCTAGATTTATTTTTATGCTTTTATAATTCTTGTTAGTTTGGGTGATCAACTTATTAATTAGGGTTATAAATCTATTGCTAGTTGGAATTTTATACCATTTGGTTAGGTTTCACAAGGTAGTAACTAGTTGATTGGGAGTTATTGAAGGGTAACTGGGAATCACTAGAGAATTATGGATGCAAATTGAATGCTCGCCCGTTTGGGGAGTTTTATTTGTGAAGGCTAAAATTAACTAAACTTAATGCTGTTGAACCTTGAATTCTTTGTGCGTTTGCCATAAGGTTAGGACCTCAATTAGGCTAGTTAATAGTGTTCGCTTTAATTAGTATTGTGGTGAATTCATGGGATTGATTAGCGTTCGTTGTCAATCTACGTCTACTATTTTGATGAATATGTTAACTTCTTTTGTTTCAATGATCAGGTCAACCTAATTAGTCAAGCTTGGGATTGGAAGTCTTCTCATAATTATCTTTCTTCTATTTTAATTACTTGCAATCTAGTTTAATTATTTCAATTTTAGTTCATAGTTTATTTTTAATTAATCAAAATCCCCCTGATTTACTTTATTGCTTAGAAAGTAGTTAGTGAACAACTCCCTGAGGATCGACCTAGACTTGCCCTATCTATAGGAAGGTTTAGTAATTTATTTCTGGTGGTAAACGACACCCATCAAGTACTCCTTTATGTGTGGTAAGCATTCCATTACTTTAGTTCCTTTGTCACCTCAAGAAGCTTTAAAAGATCAATTAAAAGTGAGGGAAGAATTTGCTAGAATGGAATCTGAATTTAGGGCTAAAGAGAAGGCTAAACATGCTACTTGCGTGGAGAATAAATCTGTTTTGGTTGATAAGCATGCTAGTTCTAAGAAAGTTGTTAAAGAGTGTATGTTAGCTACTAAGAGTGAGATTAAGAATGCTTTGAATGATAATTCTGTTTTAATCTTGCTTTTGCTTAAAAATACACTTGTGAGCAGTAACAACTTGGAAAGAGAACTTCCAAGCAATATTCTTTCTCTTTTAAGTGATTATGCAGATGTGTTTCCTGAGGAAATTCCTAGTGGTTTACCACCAATTAGAGGGATTGAACATCAAATTGACTTCATCCCTAGGGCGCAAATTCCTAATAAGCCAGCTTATAGGACAAATCGTGATGAAACAAAAGAGTTGGAGAAGCAAGTTGGTGAGATGCTTCAAAAAGGGTTTGTGCGCGAGAGTCTTTCTCCATGTGCAGTTCCTATTTTGCTTGTTCCTAAGAAGGACGGAACTTGGAGAATGTGTGTTGATTGTAGGGCAATAAACAACATAACAGTTAAGTATCGTCACTCTATTCCTAGATTAGATGATATGCTTGATGAATTGCATGGTGCTTGTTTATTGTCTAAAATTGATCTTAAGAGTGGATATCATCAAATTCGCATGAAAAAGGGTGATGAATGGAAAACTACATTTAAAACTAAGTTAGGGTTGTATAAATGGTTAGTTATGCCTTTTGGATTGACTAAATCACCTAGTACTTTCATGAGGCTAATGAATCATGTTTTAAGAGCTTATATTGGCAAGTTTGTTGTTGTTTATTTTGATGATATACTTGTGTATGGCCGCAACCTAGAGGATCATATTGAACATTTGAGATGTGTGTTAGATGTACTTAGGGTTGAAAAGTTGTATGCTAACCTTAAGAAGTGCACCTTTTGCACAAACAAGCTTGTTTTCCTTGGTTTTGTGGTCTCTGCGCAGGGTATAGAAGTTGATGAGGAAAAGATCAAAGGCATCAAAGATTGGCCAATACCCGCCAACGTTGGTCAAGTTAGATCTTTCCATGGCTTAGCCGGGCTTTATAGGAGGTTTGTTAAGGACTTTAGCACCTTGGCAGCACCTATAACAAGTGTGATAAAGAAGAATGCACCATTCAAGTGGGGGAAAGAACAACAAGAAGCATTTGAGACTTTGAAGGACAAACTAAATAATGCTCCTTTGCTTGTTTTACCTAACTTTAACAATACTTTTGAGATTGAATGTGATGCATCAGGGGTTGGAATTGGAGCTTTTTTAATGCAAGGAGGGAAACCCGTAACTTATTTTAGTGAGAAATTGAATGGGGCTGCATTGAACTATCCAACCTATGAGAAAGAGTTGTATGCTCTTGTGAGAGCATTACAAACGTGGCAACACTATGTTTGGCCTAAAGAGTTTGTGATTACACCGATCATCAAAGCTTGAAGTACTTGAGAGGCCAACAAAATTTGAATAAGAGACATGCTAAGTGGATTGAGTTCATTGAGAGTTTTCCTTATGTGGTGCGCTATAAGCAAGGTAAGGAGAATGTTGTAGCCAATGCTTTATCAAGGAGGTATGTCTTACTTTCCATGCTTGATTCTAAGTTTC